ACTATACCCTGGATTAAACTATACCCTGGATTAAAGTATATCTTTCTTTCAAACAAAACAAAAATATGTCTTCACAAACATTTCCATCCCCTTTAGATAATAACAACTGTCTCTCTTAACAAAGTTTACCTGAATGTTGGAAGGTAATATGTTTCTGTGAGCCTTGTACATAAACTGTAAAATATTATCATCAATCAAATCTTAGAATTACAAAATTTTTAGTTTACAAAATGATGTATTAGATGGATGATTGTAATCTTTTCTTGTGATAATTCTTACGGCTCTTTTTTTTAAAACAAAAACCGGATTTACTAATCGGATAAACTATCAAAAATGTAGCTCAAACCTAATTTTAGCGAAAACACAACAGAAAACATATAAATTCTGCTAAATTATAACAAAAAAATACATTTAAAAAACAGGAGTCAAAAACTAAAATTGGCAGAACAATTACTAAGAAGTTGAATGTAGCTAAAAATGAGTAAAACTGCAGACAAAAGGAGCAGCTGTGGGGCCTGGACAGTTGTCTTGGGACCAGAAAGATTCAAAGTGTTTATTATCATGTACAGTACACAGGTGAAGCATGTTTCTCTGAGCAATGAAACTCTTACTTTGTCGACCATCTGAATGTCAGGAGACAACTAGACGAAAAAGATCAACTACTTAAACGATACTAACAAGGTAATAAGGGATAAAGGATAAAAAAGACCYCACTTTGAACAAAAAGAAAGAGACCAAACTAGMGATAATWACAGAAAAACAGTAATAAMATAAAGAAAGGGAACAATACAATCAGTCTTTAAAGTGTAAATGTGCAACAGGTAACTGTCTGAAATGTGCACATGTGCAGTAATAATAGTCAGAAGAATGACACGTTCAGCTGTTTAAAGATCTGATGGCACTTGGGGAAAATGAGTTCTTGTATCTGGAGGTTCTGCATGTCAGACTCCTGTACCTGCGGCCGGAGGGCAGAGGTGTAAACAGTCCATGCTGGGGGTGGGTTGGGTCTTTGATGATTGAGGCTGCTCTCCTGAGGACCCTGCAGTGGTAGATGCTCTGCAGAGAGGGCAGTGAAGTCCCTGTGATCTTCTCAGCAGTTGTTACCACTCTCTGCAGGTGTTTGGTCCATAGTGGAGGTGCTGCTGTACCAGGCTGTGATGCAGCTGGTCAACATGCTCTCTACAGGGCAGCTGTAAAAGTTCCTGAGGATCTTTGTTGACATGTCAAACTTCTTTAGACTCCTCAGGAAGTAAAGTCTCTGTTGAGCCTTCTGGACCAGCTGTGTGGTGTTCACAGTCCAGGTCAGGTACTCAGTGAGGTGGACGCCCAGGTATTTAAAGCTGCTCACTTTCTCAATCTCAAGGTCTCTGATGTTCAGTGGCTGGTGCTGCCCCCTTTTTTTCCTCATGTCCACTATCAGCTCCTTCGTTTTGTTGGTGTTGTGGGTGATATGGTTATCCTCACACCAACACACCAGGCCAGCTACCTCCCTCCTGTAAGCTGCTTCAACCTCCCCAGTGACGTGTCCTGTCATTGCAGTGACATGTCCTCCTATCACTGCAGTGACATGTCCTATCACTGCAGTGACATGTCCTATCANTGCAGTGACATGTCCTATCATTGCAGTGACATGTCCTATCACTGCAGTGACATGTCCTATCACTGCGGTGACATGTCCCATCACTGCGGTGACATGTCCTATCACTGCGGTGACATGTCCCATCACTGCGGTGACATGTCCTATCACTGCAGTGACATGTCCCATCACTGCGGTGACATGTCCTATCACTTCAGGATGATGTTGTTCTCATGGGAGGCAGCACAGTCATGAGTGAACAGTGTGTAGAGGATTGGGCTTAAGACACACCCCTGTGGGGTTCCGGTGTTTGTGATGATCGTGGAGGAGGTTCTGTTCYAGATCCTGACTGGTTGAGGCCTTCGAGTCACAGAGGGCTGGTTGAATTCCTAGTGAGTCCAGTTCATGGATGAGTTTTTGTGGTATGACTGTGKTAAAGGCTGAGCTGCAGTCCACAAAGAGGATCCTGATGTAGGCGTCTTTGTTCTCCAGGTGGGAGAGWGAGTATTGGTGGGCAGCAGATATGGCGTCCGATGTTGACCTGTTGGGCTTGTAGGTATACTGCAGGGGGTCCAAGGGGTCCGGTATGCTCTCCTGAATGTGGGCCAGCAGCACTCTCTCAAAGCACTTCATAGTGATTGGAGTGAGYGCTACTGGCCTGTAGTCGTTAGGACAGGTGGGTGGGCTCTTCTTGGGGACAGAGACAATTGTTGTGGTTTTGAAGCAAGACACCTAGTCCCTAAACTCCCCAGTCACTTGCAGCTGTCCACTGCTCCACTTGGGTGTATCTCACCAGTGGTGGGTCAAATGTASAGCACATATTGTCATTGCATGGGAACATGAATTGACAACAATGCATAGCCCATTATTATTAATAAAAGCAAAAGTTAACACAAAAAAGCAAAGTTGAAGCATATTCCTAGGGGCAACAATATTATAAAATAAAGTAAAAAAATCAAAAACTAAAAGTTACAAACATTAAAAAACATAGCAAACTATCTGTTAACGATCCAAACGTTTTGCTATATGAATGGTTAAAATAGCACAAAGTACGCAGAAGTACCTACAAATATGGGGTGCTGTTTGTAAAGTTACAC